CCGCCGTAACGACACTGAATTTTGGAAGGTGTTGGACAGACAACATCCGGCGGTTTTAGAGGTGATCGATAGGACGGGTTTTGGGTCGTTGTTTTGGATGGGCAGAGTCCAGACCGACAACAGCCTAATTACATGTCTGGTGGAAAGGTGGCGACCAGAGACGCACACCTTCCATTTTGATTTCGGGGAGGCCACAATCACGCTCTAGGACGTACAAGTCCTGTTTGGTCTCCCGGTAGATGGAAAGCCTTGCTGGGGACAGACTGCAGATTTTACAAACCGAGATAAGTGTGTGGACCTTCTAGGGTTCGACCCCTAGGTAAATTTTTTAACACAATTTTTTATTTATTTATTTTTTGTTTGTTTATGTATAATCCATTGTTTCGTTTTTAATGTATATAAATCACTCTCAGGAAGCAGACGACCCGACAGCCAATCCCAAAACTTGGGGAATTGTAGGCCAGTATGTGAAGCACTCGAGGTTAGAAAACGAATGCAACAGAGTGCTGCAAGATGGAGAACACATCACGACCTACGAAGAGAGAGCGAGGGCCCTTATCCTCTGGTGCCTTGGATCGTTCTTCTTTCCCGATCAGAGGGCCTGTGGAGTCAACCTGTACTGGACCCAGCTCTTGCACGACATCGATAAGATCAAGGAGTACAACTGGGGGTCGGCGCTCCTGGCTGCAGTGTATAGAGCGCTATGCACAAGCTACCAGACCGGGGAAGGCTGGATCAAGAGTTGTGTCCAATTGATTCAGGTACATTTAATTACTTGTTATTTCAAAATTCATTTTTTTTTTCTAATTTAGACTAATATTTAATAACAAATGCATATGTCGATATCTTTAGGTTTGGGCATGGGAACGTATCCCTCGGCTTCGCCCGAGAATGAGGGACACGAAATTTCAAACCGTCATTGGTTGTCCTTTAGGTGGAAGGTAATGATATTTATTTATATATTTTATAGTTTGATTATTTCAATTATCAAATTTTCTAATTACAATTTCTGATGTTTTTTTTCCTGTGATTTTTAAGGTGGGTGGGACGGAAGGACACGAAACACATAGTCACCGGAACAGCCGCTGTCCGGGATCAACTGACAGGGCTAAGAGAGACGGATGTAAGATTATTATTAAGTATTATTGATTGTTATTTATTTTTGTTTTATGTGTTTTATCTTTTAATAACTTAATTCTTATTATTATTATTTTTTTAATTTTTACAGTTCGATTGGATGCCGTATGAAGAGCTCCTGAATGCTAATGCTCTCCCAGCCCAGTGTACAGAACATTCAAGCCTCTGGATGTATAGGGTCTGGATGTTCTGTTGGGACATCCGTGAAACCCACGAGCCGAGTAGAGTCCTCCGTCAGTTCGGGTATCATCAGTTCATCCCCGACACTCCGATCATTACGGGTGAGGTCGACTGGGAGACACACCACCGAGGCCAGGGAATGACCGGGAGGGGAGTATATGATTGGGTGGACTTTCATTCCCAGCTTCGGAATGTTTGGGTCGAACAAAGACACCAAAATGTCCTCCCAGATGAGCGTGTGGAGTCATTCGTACAGCCTGGCGAGGGTTACCTTGATTGGTTTCACAGCAGGACTGTGAGACTAATCAGTAACCCTGCTAAGTACCCGGTGGTACAACAGGACGGAGGCTATCAGCCACTTGCCGAGCATTGGAAGTGCGTTATAAGTGTTTATAATTTGTGTGTTTTTTTTCTATTATTATTTTATTTTTTGCGTTTCATAAAAATTACTTTGAATTAAATTTTCAGGCTAGCGGCATGGAGGGGACTTATAACGAGTTATCTAATGTTGTGCATCTATATCATACAGCCCATCCGGAGATGCAGGCGGCAATCCAATATGCCAAGAGCCTTCTCTTCACTTCTCTGACTGTCGGAGGCGGAGAGATCGGTCAAGGGACGTCGTCGAGCAAAGTTTTATCACAAGAGAGCTACGTCCAACCTCAGAGGACGCAGTCACACCGAGCGAGGCATCAACCTCCTCCCCATATTCGTGGAGGTAGAAGACGACGTCACCGCGAACCAGTTGCCGACACCGGGCCTGAGGAAGAACAAGAAGAAGGTAAACATCTTTTACTTAACAAAAATATAATTTTATTTATGTTTTGTGATTTTTGTTAAGTCGAATTTCCGATTTCTTAAAAAACTGAATTACTCAGCTGAAGAAGAAGAAGAAGAACCTACCACGCCCACAACATCGTCTTCTTCACAACCACCACGGCGTCGGATTAGCAACCGACCGCGCAACCCTACGAATCGATACACTCCTAGTTAGTTGTGTTGTATTCGGGGAAATTTTGTAGACATATATATTTATTTTTTTCTTTCGTGGTGGATTATGTGTAATAATATTTGGACTTGTTTGGATTTTTATATTTAGACAATGAATTATTGTGCTTCATTGTTCTTTCTTTGACATGAGTTGATATGAGTTTTGTGGAATTAATATTTGGTTGTGAGATCGATCTTGATTAACAGGTGTGTTTTTGTAATTTTAAACGTATATTTACTGTTTCTGCACAGTAAAACGTATTCTCGAAATACGTTTTCTTTTTTTTTAAAAAAAAAAAAACGTATTTCAAGAATACGTTTTACTGTGTAAAATTAGGGCAAAATCAATTTGGGGCTAAAATTAGGGCAAAATCAATTTGGGGCAAAAATTAGGTTTAAAAACGTATTTTCAAAATACGTTTTATTTTTCTGAATATTATTTTCTAAAAAAATTGTTTTTTAAAATTGAAAATATTAATTTTAATTAAAGTAAAACGTATTTCGTTAATACGTTATACCTTATTTTAATTAACTTAATTACGTTAATTACGTTAATTAATTTTTTTTAGTAAAACGTATTTACGGAATACGTTTTTTTAGTAAAAACGTATTCTCTAAATACGTTTAATATTGAAAAACGTATTCACAGAATACGTGGTTTCGATTTTTTTCCACTTCTTTTTTTATTTTTATTTTTGTCCACTTAATTTTTTTTATTTTTATATAAATAAAAAATTCCCACATATTTGCTCCCATCTAGTTATTAGTGATCAGGACAAGTTTTAATATCAAATAATTAATTCAATAACATTTTTTTTTCTTTTTCTCCTATTGTCGGGGTGTGTGTATGGAAACGAGTCATGTATGAAAGATAACAAAGCTTCCACAAATTTGACTGTAGAATACTTTTCATGCTTTTTTTTTTTAATCGAGTTCGTTGTCATATTATTTTTTTCTATTATCTTCGTTCAAACTCAGTAGATAGTGTTTAATATCATAACTCATTTAAAATTAATATTATATTTTTTAATATTAATTTGACTTTATTGCTATTATTAATAATGCAAACAATTTTTTTGTAAGCATTTCATATAAATTTAATTGTTATTATTATTATATTAAAAATTTTATAATAGTATTAGAAAGTCCAAAAAAGTTCACATTGAAAATCTTAAAAAGTCTTCATAACAATCTCACAAAATTCACAAAAGTCACTAAAACATAAGTCATCCATTTTAAAAAATCTTAAAATGTCTTTAATAGTCTTAATTGAATACAACCTCTTAGAATGGCTTCTATTTTAGTAGGTCTTCTAGATATTTTTCATACTCCCTCCATTTTGAAATATAAGGCGTATAAAGATTTCTCAATTTTTTTGAAATATAAGACGCGCTCAAAAATCAAGACAAATTTTTGCATTTTTTTCTAAATATACCCTCATTGTGTTGAAATTAAGGAAGTGTGGAGTGGTTGTGATTAAAGTAAATAAGGTTAATTTAGTCAATTTATTCATTAATTAATATCTCCTTAATATTTGTGCAATAACCTTAAATGCCTTATATTTCAAAATGGAGAGAGTACCATATAGGATTGGTTGTGCATAACTGCTATGTAGCAATAAATAACACAATAGACAATGTGCATAGCATAGGCGACAACTAGTTCACTTTGTAATTCAGTGTATGTAACCAGCCAAGGACTGCAAAAGCGCGTCCGATAACTCCGGATGTGGGGGCCCGCACCACCACTATCATTAAGCCGCCACATTATTATTGCTGCCGGTTAACTGCTTAATCGATTTTTTCTAATGTCACAGTAATATTTAAGGGAAAATACTATTCTCTCCATTTTGAAATATAAGGCATTTAAGGTTATTGCACAAATATTAAGGAGACATTAATTAATAAATAAATTAACTAAATTAACCTTATTTACTCTAATCACAACTACTCCACACTTCCTTAATTTCAACACAATGAGGGTATATTTAGAAAAAAATACAAAAATTTATCTTGATTTTTTAGCTCGCCTTATATTTCAAAAAAAATGAGAAATCTTTATACGTCTTATATTTCAAAATGGAGGGAGTAGTAATAGAGATGAAATATTCTCTATAGCTTGAAAAGATGAAACGGAAAAGGTGGAATTTTTTATTTTTTTAAAAAAATGAAATTGTAAATGAATACGTATAAAAAAGATAATGAATAAATTGATGTGAATAAAGAAATACTAATAAATTATAGATAAAATCTAAACAAACGCGAATAGAATTGTAAACGAGCCGACCTCGAGTAATATAGCTCGAGCTCGTCCATCAATATTAACAAGGTTGAATTATAAAAAATTATATAAGAATTATTATTTTCGAGTCTCAACGAACAGATGCGGCCTCACTTGTTAACTAAACAAAATTTTAGTGAATTCGAACTCTGACTGTTTATCAAATGAGGCAAGCCGAATTATCAATGTGCTCATCCCATTTTTTTATTTTTTTAGTTGTATAAATGAGATTGAGATAAAATGATAAGTTTTTTAAAAAAGAAAAAAAAATATTTCAATTATGATTTCAATGAAATAAATTTTGACTAATAGTAATGATAAAATTTTCTGTATCCGACTAAATAATTAAAAAGAAACTATTTTATAAAAATGATAATAAAACAAGGTCATCATTTTTGTGAGGCTTGTTCCTGGAGGTCGTGGGGCGGGTAAGGTTGAGGAGTGGAAGAGAACAAACCTATTTTGTTTTAGACACAGCAAATTCAAAAGAGAGATAATGTTCTTTCTTCTATTCCCCTCCTTTCAGACAAAGGTGGTCGAGGAGAGCTTTGATCTCTGAGACCATCATCCTGAAAAGGGCATCAAGAAAAAATCAAAATTCTTTACCTATTTGTGCCCATTTTGAGTGCCCAACCGCAGATTTCATTCCCCTCACGTCGTAATTTTTTAATACCATCGTCAACCTTTGGGAACCTCTGCATTTTTTGCTTCAAGACGCATTTTTACACAGATTAAGGAATCCAAATCACCATTTTTACACAAAATTCAAGAATTCATTGTGTCGTCATTGGTTGCTCTATCGCCTTTCTTTCTTTTGGGTGAGTTTTTCTTCCTTTTACATTTTATTCTTTGGGTTTTCACATCTTCTTGTATTTACATACATGCCCTTTGGCTTTCCCTCCTATGATGCTGCATTTATTGCTTGTCCTAACGATTATTCTCTGTCTTTTTGTTCTTGGTTTTCTTTTTCTCTTTTGATTCCATCAATTACGAAGACATTTTCTGCTTTTCATGTCTCTTTATTGATTTACTATGCTTCCTTGCGTGCATTTTCAGCTAAAGGTGGAATCTTGGAGGATAATATAGTCCATTAAGCCCGATTATGCAGTTGGTGAAAACGGCTTTGTAGCCATAATAAGATCTGGTCGAAGATGAGGGACCCCGATTTTGTTAAGAGATTCATGAGGGCTAATGTAGATTCTTTTACTTTCTCTTTAGTTTGCGCCTAGTTGTGTAGCTAGAATTTTTGTGCTTACAGTTTTCCTTGGTCTGGGGTAAGAGCTGAAGATATTGTTGGGTTTGTTGTTCTATTGGTGTTTTTGTCGTTTTCCCCGTCTTTTTCTTTTCGAGTAATTCGATATTGCTCGGAGGTTAATTCACACCAAAAAAGCTGGCGATTTTATTCATTAAATTGTATTTGGTCTTGGCCGTTGGCACGAACTGCAACGGATGGGGAATAGTCGGACCATTAGCGTGACTTTCGTGCTTCTGATTTTGGTTCTTGAAATTCATGGATGCTGGTCGATCAATTCCGAAGGTAATTTAAGCATAATTTGATGGGGTAAAAAAAAAAGGAGAGGAAAAACTGTGATTATTATTAAGTTTAGGCATGTTGTCTAGTGATTGACCTGAAAGTGAGGGAAAATGCAGGATTGGCTCTGTTACGATTTCAAGCAACTGTGGCCTTTGACCCGTATGGAGCATTAGCTGATTGGGTTCCTGATGATTGTGATCCGTGCTTGTGGTCGGGCGTTGAATGTCTCGATAGTAAAGTGGTTATGTTGTAAGTCTCGTTTTATAAAACAATATTTTCATTGGATTTGTGGTTTTTGTTGCGGACTTCAAGACTTCAAGTTCAATTTCTTTTTTTTTTTTCTTGTAATGTAGATTTATTTTTCTATTTTATGAATCTTTTTAAATTTTATGTCCGGATTTATATGCTTCTAACTTCCGTGACTTGTATAGGAATCTAACTGGGCGTGGTTTGGAGGGAGCATTGGCACCCGATCTTGCGAATCTCTCTCATTTAAGAGTTCTGTGAGTATCAGCTTCGACTTTGCGCATGTTTGTAATATACATCTGTTTCATGAATAATGAATGTTCATATGTTGGTAGATTTTATTTTTTATAAAAAATCTGATGCAATTTGTAATTACTAATTAGAGGCAATTCTCTTATGCTACTCTATGCATTCTCGGTCTGTTGGAGATGCTATAGATGATTTCATAAAGTATCAAGTCTATAGTATTGTTCTAATTGTTTGATTGATTTCTTCTGAGTTCTGGCGGTACTAAAGTTAGATAATATTATTTTTATTTTTTCTTGTGGCAAGTGACCTATCCAAGAACTGTCTTTCGGGGACGATTCCTCCACAGTTTGGGCAGCTCACAAAACTCGAAGTGTTGGACTTGAGGGATAACGACTTGAGTGGAAGAATTCCGGCAGATTTAGGAGAATTGAAATCCCTAAGCCACTTGTAAGAAAAATATTTCTGAAAAAATCATAGTAATACAATTTTTGTTGCTAAATGAAAAATTACTAGTTCAGCTAACTATATATTATTACATTCGTGTTTTCTAGGTTGCTCTGTAATAATAGATTTGAGGGACGCATTCCTGTGGAGATTGAGAAGCTCGGTTTGCTGAAGGAGACTCAGTTTGATGATATCCTCACAACTGCTGCTGGAAATGGTTGCGTCAATAGAAAATTTGGGCACTGGTAAGTTTATTCCTGTGATATGGTGATACTTTTTTTTTCTATCAAAATGCAATACATTTTAAACATAGATAGAAGTATTTGTTTGGTGAAATACAAATAGTGCTAAACTTTATTTTATATGATAGAAAAGTCTGAATTCTAATTTTTTTTTTCCATGGACGTATCGAAAATGACATTTTTTTTTACCATTTTCAANTGGATTATCAGACAATCACGCTGGTGATAATCATAGCTGTACTAATCCTAATCTCACTGGTGAACCAACTTATTTTCTTACATAAATATATACAAATTTATTATTTATTATTTATTTACTTGTTTATTTATTTTACCATTTGCTAGATTCACCTAAGCCTCCCGAGGTAAAAAATAACGTTCGACGTGTTCTAGCTGAACAGTCGAGTAATCTCATTGCTTTGCCTCCCGATTTTGAGTCCCCACCTCCATTGGAAAGTGGGGCCTCTCTCCCGAGCAGAAGTAGTGGCTCGTTTCCAGCTGTACCGAACGCGGAGAAATTATCTCCCCCTCCTCACCCCACACCACCTTTCGGTGAGGAGAACACAACGCCTCATGCTATCATCAGCCAAACAAATGATGCCAAGGAGGGGCAATCTGGGAATTCGGGGCACTCAACAAAGGTCATAATAGGAATATCGTGCGTTGTTTTCTTGCTTGTTTTCCCGCTAGTTTTGTTTGCCGTCTTCAGAAGCAGAGCAGCTAGGACGATCAGACCTTGGAAGTCGGGTTTGAGTGGGCAGTTGCAAAAGGCCTTTATTACGGGTATGCTTTAAATTTTTTCAGAAAGAAAAAAGAAAACGACATTTGCAGGTTTAGTTTATTTAGCTTGAAGCATCTAAATAATTAAGTTTTTTTTTTCCAAAGAATTTAATTTTATTTTTAACTTTAAAGTAGCATGAATTCAACAACCTGCTTAGAATAGAATATATTATTTTTATAATTATTTATTGTTACTATTATTATTCGTAGGAGTTCCCAAGTTAAACAGGGCCGAGCTAGAAACCGCGTGTGAGGATTTCAGTAATATTATAAGGGTCTATGATGGTGTGTCCACTCTATACAAGGGCACTCTATCCAGTGGAGTTGAGATTGCAGTTGTCTCGACTGCTGTAGGCTCCATAAATGAATGGTCTAAACGTGCCGAATTAGCTTTCAGGAAGAAGGTTAGTAAGTCGACCGATATTATATTATTATTATATTATTATTATTTCTCATTTTTTGCAAGACTCCCAAATATGAGTTTGATCATGTGAATGTGAATGTACTCATTTTGCTACCACTACAGATTGATTGTTTGTCTCGTGTGAATCACAAGAACTTTGTAAACCTCATCGGTTATTGTGAGGAAGACGAGCCTTTCACTCGGATGATGGTTTTCGAATATGCTCCCAACGGCACTCTCTTCGAGCACCTGCATGGTAAAAAATTTCATAATCTGATTAAATTTTAATTTCTTTCATTCGATTTTCTTCTTTCACAAACATTAAAATACGTATTATTGTCTTATCATCATTTCATTTCAAAAGAAGACTTAGAGCACCTCGACTGGAATGCAAGGACGAGGATTATGATGGGGGCCGCTTACTGCCTTCAATATATGCACGAGCTAAATCCACCGGTGGCCCACATCAACTTAACTTCCAAAGAAATATACTTAACCGATGACTATGCTGCTAAAGTAGGGTTCTTTAAGTTCTTTATCTAACCAAAAACGAAAAAAAAATAAAAAAATTGCTAATTCATTTTTTTTAATTATTATTGAAGAAATTTGTGGTTTGCAGATTGCTGATGTTGGTTTCTGGCTGGAACTCATGGTCAAATCCAAGAATAAGGGAGAAAGCGAGTCGGACCATTCAGAACTACCTCCACTTGCTGACGTGGAAACAAATGTTCACAGTTTCGGGATTCTTTTGCTGGAAATAATTTCCGGGATGCTCCCTCACTCGGCCGAGAATGGCAATCTCGCAAACTGGGTATGTTTTTAATATGTACAATAGTTATTTATTTATTTAATCCACATACTTGAAAATTTCCCCAAATATAAGCCTGTTTTTATAGAAAATATTGGTCGAAAATTTTTCCAGGCTGCTGAGTATTTGTACGACAAGACCATTAGCAAGATGGTGGACCCCACGTTAAAGTCGTTCAATGAAAAGGAGCTCGAGGTCGTGTGTGAAGTAATCAAATGTTGCATCTACCAAGAACCGAGAAAAAGACCGTCCATGAAAGAAATCATACAGAAATTGAGGGAAGCCATTGATGTCTCGCCTGAGGCAGCAACTCCGAAGCTCTCCCCTCTTTGGTGGGCCGAGCTCGAAATTTTATCTGCAGAGGCGGCTTGAATCTTGATCGATTGTTTGTCTATAAATCGAGCGCGCGCGTGTGTATGCAAATGTAAGTTCAGTTTACCGTCTCTTGGTCGCCGTGTGTATTGCTCGGAAAGAATTTTAACTTTTTTTTTTAAATTTTTTTATTTTTTATTTTTGGTTAGGATGTTACTCTTAGAGTTCCTTATGATTTGATTCGTTCATTATTTTGTCGTATGGTTTGTGTCTGTGTGTATGTGTTTCTGATGCAATGTAAGTGAAAAATATGAAGACAGATTTGTGTTTTGGGACAAGGATTGTTTGTGATAGATAAGAGGGCGTTTGTTTATAAAATTATTCAATTCTTACTCAATTTATACTCAAAATTTAACTCAATTTTAATCTGACTTCATTATCTTCAATATTATCAATATAATTAAATAATATCAACCATTCATTCTTATACATCAAATCAATTTTAATTCACTATTTATTCACTCACATAATTTTAACTAACCATCACTTTACATTATTTCTCTCATATTTTTACATTAAATTATCTTTAATTATTATATTTTAAATTTTATTTAAATATAAAGTCAAAATTTCACTAATAATTATCACATTTTTCAAAATTAACTCTTATTAACTAAAAAAAATCCATTTTGAGCAGATATATTTGTATGCGAACACGCCCTAAGCATTACCACCTCATTTAATTGTTCTGTCAAAATCATGTTGCTTGAGATCAAACAGCCACGTGTATGGACCAGTGACATTAAGTATTGCCAACTTGCCACCAGTTCAAGAGCGCAGCTTGATTGTAGACCTTAGCTTATAAATATATCCAGCAAATGTGAAGATTTATTAATGTTACATGCTATATGTGGCAACTTCATTTCATTTAATAGTTATGTCTCTTTCAAATGGATGGACCGTTCACCTCCAATCATTGGCGTTTTAACAACCAACCGAAGTGTATGATTGCAAATGAATCGAGTGGCTCGTGAGTTTTACCACTTGAGTTTGAATTTAATTGAGCTTGAGTTGAGCTTGAGTACTTTAGATGCAAACGAATCGAACGGTTGGTGAACTTCACCAATCGAGTTTGAGTTTGAGTATTTTGAACTCAAACTCAGAGAAGGACTTGAGCCTGTAGTTAATAAGTCTGAGTTTTCGACGAGCAGTTTGAATATATATAATATTATCTTAAATGCCTCTTATTAGATATTTTTCTATTGAAATTTCAAGCCAAATTTAAGTAAAATCCAAGTTGATCTCAAGCGCTTGCAATATTTGTCGAGTCAAGGCCAAAATGTTTAGCTCGTGGAGCTTGAGAACAGTTAAAAATCGATCTTAGTATAATAAGATTAATGCTCGACTCATTTGCAACACAAAGCATTGAGTGTGAACTCATATAGATTTATTTATTGTGTCACCAGGATCTATAATATTTATATCTGTATAGTGGACCTATTTATATTGTTATAATTGACATGATTTTGGGCTGTGAAATATTTCATCTAAATTTGACATACAATTAACTTTTATTTCTTTTAGCAAATTTCATAAGTAAAACTTAATTATTTTCATTTAATCAATGGTTAATATTTATTAACTATAAGTCAACGTAAATAGATTTATTTACTCCTAACATATTTTAAAATAATTTTATAGTTATTTGTTGACACAGTTAAATGAATGTAATATTACAATATTGATAAGTGATTTAGATGGTATTTAACTATTTATTCTATGGTTTTAGATAAATTTTTGTAAGAAAATAATTCAATAATATTTAATTAATAAATATCTTTTGTACGATTCCCTTGCATAGGTATCAACGTTTGTTTAATTTGAGGACCATTAAATTTTGTGTGTCAGGAAGTATCTTTTGAGGCATTGGCAAGATGTGCTGGTCCCCAGAGTAATTTTGCAAGTTACGAAATTAGACAGATCCACTTTCGGCGCACCACGTGTAATAATTAAAGGACTTAAACTCACTGATTCCATATGACATGAGATGATGAGATTATCATTCAAAGCCACATTTGATTTATCTGGTAAATACAGCCCACATACAGCAGCAGTACAATCAACAACTCATCTAATACAACATCCCTGAAAGAAATCAAACCAAGAAAAATGGAGGAACTAACTAACCCACATATGATGATGTTATATTCTGAGATTATTCACCTAGCTAGCAAAGAGCAAGACGATGATTAAAAACACATAACAATTATGATACAAAAAAGAATACGTATGGTTTTGTAAGAAAAGCTCGCGCGCACTAATCTTTTGCCGTGACAAGGCTCTGCAAACCGGGCCTCAATTCCCGATTGCAGAAATCCTCATACTCCGACAAATCCCCTGCTTTCTTCTTAACCTCGACAACTCTCAAAGAAGAAGTCAACTCGAATATCTCAGCCACGATAGTCAACGGGCCATTGACTCCGTCCTTTATACCTTCCAAATTCACCCTGCAATCCTTCTTCCTCACCGTAAACCTCACGACTTTACCAATCTCCTCGATTTTCGAAATAATGCTCGAAACTGAAGCCCTTGACACGAACCGAACATCACTGTCTTCTCCTCCCCCTTCCTCGAAAAGCCCCGAAAGGTCAAACCCACGCGAAAACGAGATTAAATCGAATGCGTTCAGGCTAACTGGCTTGGGCAAATAAGTAATTTTCAATTCTTCATTCGATTCCTCATTCACACTGCACAATTTGCTGTCCTCAATGTAGAATTTCACATTCTTGAAGCCCTTTTTGAACCAATTGTTGGTCATGAGCTCGGGGATTGTGATTCGTGTATCGGGATTTGTGTCGAGCATTCGAGTGATGAGGTGGACGAGCTCCGGCGAGAACCAGCGGGGGCACTTGAACTCGCCATTTTTGATTTTTTTGTACAGTGACATGATGTTGTGGTCATAGAAGGGGAAGTGGCCGGCGGTGAGGACGAAGAGGATGACCCCGCAGCTCCAGACGTCGACTTTGGCGGCGTTGTAGCCTTTCCGGGAGAGAACCTCCGGCGCCACGTAGGCAGGGGTGCCGCAGAAGGTGCGGAACAGGGCGTCCTGTTTGGCCTGGTCGGAGATGGCGCTGAGCCCGAAGTCGGAGACCTTGAGGTTGCCGTCGTCGTCGACGAGGATGTTTTCTGGTTTGAGGTCGCGGTGGTAGACGCCGCGGGAGTGGCAGAACGCGACGGCGGAGATCAGCTGCTGGAAGTAATTCCGGGCGAGGTTCTCGTTCAGGCGGCCCTTGGCGAGCTTTCCGAAAAGCTCGCCGCCGCGGACGTACTCCATTACGAAGTAGATCTTGGATTTGGTGGCCATTACTTCGTGCAGCTGGACGATGTTCGGGTGGCGGACCCGCCGGAGGACGGAGATCTCGCGCTTGATGTGGCGGATTAGCCCCACGCGGAGGATTTTTTCCTTGTCGATTACTTTGATGGCGACGCCGTCGCCGGTCGTCACATTCCGCGCGTGGTAAACCTTCGCGAATGTTCCGTGACCTAGGATTTTGCCGAGCTCGTATCGGCCCAGTAGGAGCCCGTTCGCTTCGTCCTGCTTCGGCGGATTTGCCGTCGATGTCGTCTCGGAGGCGGCGGCGGCGGCCATCGATTGGGTTGATTTTTGAAATTTTCCGGTGGGGGATTTTGGGTTTAACGGCAAAAGGCGACGGGTTTGTGGAGAGGTAGCTCCGCCGTTTTTGGTTCAGTGCCCCTTAATTGGTTCGTTCATTCGGATTGTGAGGCCTATAAATGGAGCTGCAAAACTGAATATTGATATTTAATATTATTTATTATTAATTCATTTTGACGCTGTTTTAGTTAAAAACGAGGTGTCAAATGGGAATACAACCGCTGGGCAGCTGGCAATTGCGAGAATGGAATGGTAATGAAATAAAAAGGTAATTAAACAATCGTGTTACACTGTTAACTTTTTTTGCATTAGAAATGCCTGCGTGAATTGAAAATTTTATTAATCTTATTTAACATAGCTATGCAATTAAATAGTTATATTATGTTGTCATGGTTATACAATTATACTTGTGTTCAAAACTATAACAATACGAAGTAAAAAGGAAAATGACTTAATTTTCTAAAATATGCTATATATATAAATAAGTCTAATTTCGCGAAATGGACAAGAAATAAATAGATAATGAGGCGTATTCTTTGGGAGTCATGGTAAAAGAAAAATACAATAACATACAATTTAATATAATATATGATTAATATAGTTTTAACATTTAACACATCACAATCAACAGTATAATCAATTAGTATTAATATTGTTATCTTATTTATGCAAATATTATGTCAAGATTCTGTGTAAAGGTGAGGTTTTCCATTTTTTTAAAGAAAATAATGTCACTGTTAAAGAGCTTCTTCGACCAATACCAAACGCTAATGCTGAAGAAGTGAAGACCCAATTTGAAACGCAATTTACAATCCAAAGTCACTTTGTCTTCTATGTACGCATATTTGCTTATGCACTATTGGCATTTAGATTTTAAAATTGATGGTTGGTCAATTAAATACATAAATGTGTTTTTTTTTTATTTCTATATGTTTATTTTATTTTTCTATAATGCTTTTCTGGCTTTCACAATGGNTAATAAGAATTAACATTTACCATAAATAGTAGTAAGGAAAAGTCAACCACATTTATTATATACTATTTTCAGCAACTTTTACATTTTATATTTTAATTTTAATTCATTATCAAAAAATTGGATGGTTCCTAATTTAATGGGTTTTAAATGCACGTATCATGTTTCAAAAATTATAAGTCATTTAAAATCGGAGGGTTCATAAATTAATGGTTACAAACTTTTCAAAGTTGTAATCTTTATGGCACCTTTTCTTTTTGACTTTTAATAATAAAATTATTTTAAACATATATATTCTAATCCAAAAATTCAATCATGTTATATATATATATATATATATATATATATATATTGAGCGCTAAAAATATTTTTTAAATTGCATACCCCATCAATTAATCTTAATTTTTTTAAAAATTACTATGTTTATTTTTTATGAATATGTATAAAATAAAAATAAATAGTTCATCTTTGGATATATAATTTATAATCTTAATATACTATCATTTGGTGTAGACATATGAATCATAAAATATTTTTATTTCATAAAATTAAATATTATATTTAAAGAAAGGAAATTACTTTGGATCAATCGGGTGATTGAATTAGGGTACTGCTCACTTTGATTGAATTACTTTTAGGTGATATTTGAAATAGTCAAAAAACTTGACATAACTTGGTTGGTCCGAGGTAATTAAGTTATGTATCAGTTTGACCAGACCAAATTGATTATTGAACCTAAATATAAATTTTAATATTGAAAATACTTTATTACGTGAATGTGATGTCGTCCAAACTTCAAATAATCATATTAACAATACTCTTATGACAACGTGATTAATGATTTATGAATATTTATATATCATTTTATTATTATTTATGTGAACAAAATATTTATTTCATTATCATTTTTATTAATGTACGGTAAATATAAAGTTTTCATAATCGCACCGTCTTGTGGTTGTTCAGATTTTAATACATAATACTTTAATATATATATATATATATTTATAGTACCTTTTGTAATGAATTTAAATAGAAAGTGTTACTTAAATATCTAAACAATATATAAATTCAAATGTTTAAACTAATTGATAAACAATTTATAGATATCTATTTTATTTAAATATGTAATTTTATTTAAAATAATTTTTCATATAACAAAAATTGTTTAGAAAATCGTATCGATCTTACCAGTCCAACATACTGGTGTTGGCGGATTCGATAGCAAATATTTTATTCAAGCGCACTAAATCGGTTATAAGCCGGTTCTCGGTCCATCCGGTCGGACTGTGTCCAACCCGATTTAATTTATAAATAATGGGTAAATCATGATTAATGTTATTTATTTATTTAATTTATAATACAATCAAAATATTATTTTCCCGTGCATCGCACGGGCCACGTACTAGTATGAATAATAATAGTAAGTAAAAATAACCAAAAAAACTATTCCAATGTGAATAGGTCTTTACTTAAAGATCGGCTAGATTTTTCTTTTTAACCTTCACAATAACTGAATCAGTCTGCTTCACTTGCATTGAATAACATCTCTATTACATTGGATTTATTTTCTACTTGTCATAATAAATATATGTCCAAAAATATTGGATGCGCATCTGTGCACCAATTATTTATAATTAATTATATTAAATATTTCTCCAATGATTCAAGACTATCTAGTTGTTCTCCAAAAAATCAGCGATTCGTTTAGATTTAGATTCTAAATAAATATATATAGTAAAAAAATATATATAGTACTATTATATTTATGTGTGTGATGAGCGTGTGAAGGAAGATGAGATTTAGGTGACATCAAATATTAAATACCGAAACACAAATGGTCCAATGTAAAATGACGAGTAGCAACTAGCAATCAATTTTGCTGACGACCACGT